AGGGAGACCCTCAAACTATTTGTGCTTTATATTTGATATTGTGCAGTGAGGACACTGCAATGTTTTTAGTTGGGGGTGGCTGTAGGAGTATACTGTATTCATGTTATGATATTGTGTGCCCTTGCAGGGCTTATTTTGTTGCTATGGATACTGTGTGCCCTTGCCGGGCTTATGTTGCTGTTGTAGATATTGTGTGCCCTTGCCGGGCTATTTTGTGTAGCAGGTGCTCTTGCTGAGCTTGGTGTGATTAGTCTATGTTTAGCTTTCTTTCGTTATTTATTTTCTTTAGTAGTTTGTATTATTTGTATTAGCCGCTTTTATCTTAGTATTATTTTTTAGTAGTTTTGTTCTTTCATTCTTTTCCTTAAAGTAGTATTTCCTTGGGTTTTCTTCATGCTACGGTTCTTTCCCAAGGAACATTTTTGAATTGAACCGGGTGACTTTTCCCTATGATAGATGGCTTGACAACTTTCTTAAGGGAATTAGTCTTGCTTTGCTAGGAGGAGACTTTTGGATTATTTGGTACTAATAAAATTAGTCTCTTGTATGTAAAATGTGAATCAAGAATACCCCTCCGAATTTTGGTTTTGAACTAAAACAAGTAAGTTGCATGGTAAAGAATAATTTTTGTGATAAAATTTTGGCTCTTTGAGTGACTCTTTGCCCACTAGTTTGAATAATATTGCTCTAGACGTTCTTGTTAGAAAATGATTGATCCGTCTTGATTAATTCATGTGCCATGTGTGTTAGTATTTGTACAAATAAATCTTGTGTTTACTTCTATCATCTAGAACTTGCCCGGTTGGTCTTTCAACGCTAATGAAAGTATGTTTGGTTGGAGGAATGATCTTAGGCATTCTTTGTTTTATTTGCAAAACCTCTTTAGCCTTTCAAGCCTACCATTGCACAAATAATATCACTAGTACCCTATTTGAGCCTTTAACCTTTTCTTTGGCCACCTCATTACAAACCTTTCCCCTTTTTGTAAAATAATTCCCTCTTTTGAACTCGTCCCTCCTTGAACATTGAGAATGAGGCTAAAAGCCTAAGTTGGGGGTGTGGGGTCAAAGTGGAAAGTGGTAAGGTTGTACATTGAGTGTAGGAACATATACCTCAAAGTGTTCATATTCAATTATTCAAGCTCCAAAAGAAAAATTTGTATAAAAAAATGTATATTTATAAATTATGGAACCTTAAAGAAAATTAGAGAGGTATTTAAGGTGGTTCTATTTTGGGAACTAGATGCCAATGAGGCTATGTGGTTTGAGAAGAAACAAAGTGCAAAAAGAATGACAAATGTGAGTAGTGTTCAAGGAGGATGAAGTCACTTGTATCCAAATGCTTATCCGACCCTTCCCTAAACCTACATTACAAGCTTAAAAAGTCCTTATGGGACCTCCAAGCGAACATTCTTGAATAGGCGATGAATTAAAATAAGGGCAAGCTTATGGTATGAGATGTTGTAACACTTGAAATTCTTTGTGAGAGTGAGTGTTTTTGTAAATTTTTCCCTTATGTTGTATTGTAAATATAGTGATTTTGGGACATTCTTTCTTGTGAGGGCACATGAATTAGGAAGGATTGGTGAAATTGAGTAAGCTGAGCATATGTAGTGAACTAGTGCTTTTGAGTCACTTCTTGAGGCTTATTCTTGTCACTTGATTATTTTGAAACTCCCTTGCACATTCTTGAAGTTATTTTTAAATGAGGGAGTCATTCTGGAAAGATAAACATACTTGAGCCTAATTATTAGTACCAACCAAATCCATAAGTTGGTACTTAATTGGAGAATGTGATTTGTAAATAATAGCAATACCACTTGTGTTTTAAATGGTAAATCCTCATTGAAGTGTTGGTTTTGATTTGCTTGAGGACAAGCAAAAGCTTTAAGTTGGGGGTGTTGATGAGTGATGATTTTACCACTCAATCTAGTCTCTTTTTCTTAGCTTTTATGTCCTTTAACTATCATATGAGGTCGTTTATGGTGTGTATTGTTAGATTTTCAGGTAAATGATGCCCTGAAGTGATTTGAATTCAATTGGAGTGGAATTGAGCAAAAAAGGGTGAAAACAACTCCCCAGTGATTCCGCATCTGCGGAAGGAAGGTCACAGAAGCGACCCCGCTTCTGCGTGAAAAGTTCAGCATCTGCGAAGTTGTTTGAGATTGCAAGAAATCGCATCTGCGGTTGGATTACCGCTTCTGCGGTGGCGCATCTGCGCCTGGTGAACCGCATCTGCGGTAACAGAGTTTCAGCTGGCAAATCGCTTCTGCGGTGGGATCTCCGCATCTGCGGAGCCGCACCTGCGATGATTCTTCAGCAGGTGCGGTAAACGGGCATCAGATCTGGGCAAATTAGGCATTTTACATTTTCTCATTCCCAAACCCACAAATACTGGACCTGGCAGTATCTTTTGCAATATCTGAACATCTTTATCATATTTTTGAGTTCTTAGACTTAGAGAGAACAAGGTGGAAGCTAGGGTTTTGCACACACACTTGGGTTTTGAAGATTTCAAGCTTGTGGTTAAGGATTTCTAACCCATTTATATTTATTTCTTCATTTCCTTGCTTTGTATTGAATATTTAAGTGTGTAGTATTTATTTCCAACACTTGAATCTTGTTTATGGGAATATTCATATTTAAAGTGTGGATTAAATACCTTGTTGTGCTTATGTATTGAATGATTTTCATTTATTTATGAAGTGAGTTATTGTTTCTTTAATTATTCTTGTTCTTTAATGTTTGCAAAGGGATTAGCTAACCCTAGGACTCGCCCATTAACTCCGAATCAATTTTGGAAAAGATAATTTGGGGTTGGGAAAGATTAATTAACAAGAACTTGAGGCGTTAACCCTCATTTTATAGATTCTACCTAGGGATAGGATTGAACTACTTGTAGCCATATCCGGGAGTGCTTAATCTCTTAATTGTTTTAGGAATAATTCAATTAGGAAGTCTTGTTAGTCTTTGAAAGAAGCTAATATAGAATTATTACCCGTGGCTAATTAACATAAACTCGCTCATATTTGTAAAATCATGAAATACATTGGATCTTTACTTGAGTGTAATTCCTGATGCAACCATACTTGTACCCATTGATCATTTTACTTGCTTTCTAGGTTAGTTTACATTTTCGCATTTAGTTATAAATATTTTCTCAAATCAATTCTTAGTGTTTGGCATTGCACGATAAGTGATAATTCTCTTACATTCCTAATCGCCTACATATTGTTCTCTGTGGGATTCGACCCCGACTCATAGTTGGGTAAATTATATTGCATGCGACCGTATCCATTTACTTTTTAGTAGTGAATTTGGACGTCATCAATGGTGTCATTCTTACACTGCAAAGAAGGGTGTATGGGCAAAAATACAATTAGTAGACCCCTTCTTTCTATTATATACAACTTAGCTAACATAAAAGTTGGACTTTTAATATCTAATTCTAAATGATGGTACTTGCCATTTATCCATAAAGAAAGGACCTTTGGCTTCTTTGGGAATTTGCTGGAAATTCGTGTGGATGATCCCTTCTGCTGAAGCAGTGGCATTCTTTGCAAAACAGTCTGCAACCTGATTTGCCTCACGATAACAGTGACTGATAGAAGCATTAGCACGTTCTAAGATCTCAACAGTATCTTCGATCTCCTTCCTTAGAGTGTAGTTGTGCAAAGTTCTGTTTTGAAGCATGTTGTGAATCACCAAAGAATCAATTTCCACCATGAAGCTGTTGATTCTATTGTTGACACACCACTCGCACCCAAATTTAATCGCCCTCAACTCCGCGACATTGCTACTACCACAGATGATAGGGATTGAGAAAGCCATGATAAATTCTCCATTATCGTTCCTGAGAACTCCTCCTATCCCTGCTTTGCTGCTTTGTTTGTTGAAACTCCCATCAGTGTTAAGCTTCAGTTTTCCTTGCTGGGGCTTTTCCCATAATACACATCTCCAAATTGGAATAGGTTTGAGTCTCTCGAATAACTCACAGTTCCTATACCAATTATTACGAGTGAGAATAGAGGGAAACTTCCTATTCATAGTAGCATTGATGTTCCAGAGAATTTGGGATTTCATCTTGTATTGATTGAACTTTTTACTATCCCCAAATTTGCACGATGTATAGCTTCTCCAGATTTCCCAGCAAACAAAGATTGGCATAATATGTAAAATCATCTTATGTACTAAATTCTTTGGTTTCCTCTGCCACCATTGGGTGAGGACACCCCTAATGGAACCAGAGATATGTTGGATTCCCAGAGGATTTCCAAAGAACTTCCATAAGCTAATAACAGCTTCACTATCAAAGAAAACATGCTGTATATTTTTGCATTGGGGGATACTACAACAATTGCATTTTGAAACTGGTTGATTGCCAAACCTCATGATGGTGTCATCAAAAGGCAGCTTTCTCTGAATCATTCTCAAATGAGAAAGGAAATTTTGAATGGGATACTGTTGTGCCAAACTTTACAAGAAAAGGATTTCTCTGTTTAGTGGTTCGAACCATGTGCCAAGCAGTGGTATTAGAGTAATGACCATCCTCGGTGAGTCTCCAAGTAGCATAGTCCTTTTGATCCTGTCTTCTTCTTGGGATACCACTGATATGTTGAGCAATTTCAATCGGAAGGACTCTTTCCAATTTATTAAAATCCCAACTCTTACCTCTGAAGAATTCTGCAACTAAAATTTTCCCAGAAGTTCTAGAATGATTGACTATTTTAGCGAGTGGTCCTTTACCTGTCCAATCACCCCATCAGAAGCTACATTCCCCTGTATTAATATTCCAGTATATATTCTTTTCAGCTCTGTCTCTAATTTGAAGAATACCTCTCCAAGAGTGTGAGCTCCCAGATGTAATAGCTTTAGAGACTGGGTGTGCTCTAATAGAGTATTTGGCTTTTAGAAATTCAGCCCACAAAGAGGGGCATGCTATGAACCTCCACCACCTTTTGATTGAGCAAATGTCATTTATCTCCTCCATCCTTCTAATGCCTATTCCCCCCTCTTCTTTTGGAAAGCGTAGTTTCTTCCATGAGCTCTAGTGAAATTTGTTCTTATCACCATGGGAACCCCAGAGGAATCTAGCAAAGTGTTTCTCAATGAGATTAAGCGTAGAGGGGACAATGTAGAAAGGGTGTATAGAGGGAGATATTGTAGAACATTTTTAATAATAACCACTTTCCCTCCATACGATAGCATCTTTCCTTGCCATCCGCTTATTTTCTTAACAATCTTTGCAACCATCTCCTCAAAGTAGCAAATTTTCTTCCTTCCTGTATAGATAGGGTATCCTAGATACTTGAAAGGAAATTGTTTGTCCATGAAGCCAGTGGTTCTCCTGATTCTATTTATCCTTCCAGCTTTAGTATTAGGAGCTGTAACGAAGAAGCACTTATCGACGTTGAGTTTTTGCTCGGATGCCTTACCATAGTTCTTGATATTATTCATGATGAGCTTGATGGATTTATTGTTGCCTGCCGTGAAGATGACAATATCATACGCATAAGCGAGATGATTAATTTGAGGACCTCTTGTTGGCATGTTAAAAGGAGTGAAATTATCATCTCCATGAAGCTTGTTAAGAGATCTGGTGAGAACTTCAGAACCCAGAATGAACAAGGAAGGTGAGAGGGGATCTCCTTGCTTCAGCCCCTGTGAAGATGTAAAGAAACCATGCCTGGTGCCATTAAGAATAATAGAATACCAAACATTGGAAAGAAGATTCTTCGTGATATTAATCCATTATTGTGAGAAACCGAAAGTAATGAAGTCCCAAGACATTCTATCATATGCCTTTTCCATGTCTAGTTTAGGCACAACATTACCTCCTTTGTTGGGGCCCTTTATACCTTGAACAATCTCCTGAGCAAGAGTGACATCTTCTGTGATCAATCTATCTTTGATGAAACCACTCTGATTGTTAGAGATTAAATTGGGAAGGAGTGAGTTAATCCTTTTTGACAGGATCTTAGTGATGATCTTGTTTGAGACATTGCTGAGGCTAAAAGGCCTTAACTCAGAGAAAGTCTCAGGAGCTTCCACTTTTGGGATCAACACAAGGCACGTATGAGAGAAGAACTTAGTCAGATGTTTACCATTAAAGATGGCCTGGACAAATTGAATGATGTCATATTTAATGATGTTCCAACATCTATGATAATAGGTCCCGTTATAACCATCAGGACCATCAGCACTATCCCCGCTGATACTGAAAATAGCCTCTTTAATCTCTTCTTCCATTGGAACAGAGTCAAGGATGTCATTCTCCTCATCAGTGATACACCTAGGAATGCAATCAATAATATTCAGGTTCAATTCCTTTCTAGTGAGATTGAAAAACTTCTTATAGTGCTTGATAGCAGCCCTCGTAATTTTCTCCTCACTTATAACCCAATTTCCTTTGTGGTTTTTGATTCTGTGTATTTTAAGCTTCCTCCTCCTTTCTGTGATAACGCTATGAAAATACTTTGTGTTGCAGTCTCCTTCTTCAAACTATTGTATCTGAGATTTTTGTTTCAGGAGTGACTCTTGCATAGAATGCCATCTTATATACTCGGCCTGACATTTGTTTAAGTTTTCTCTGCTCTGTTCAGTATTTTGTTCCTGGTCAATTTCTTCTAACAACTTCACCTCTGCTTCCCATTTGTTAAAATGGTCGTAAATATTCCCAATGTCATCCCTGGACCATTGAGTAAGTTTCCTGCTCAAAAGTTTAAGCTTTTGCTGAAGTTTCCACATAGGGTTTCCTTGAATATGGGTGTTCCAGATATCGCTAACAAGTTCATAAAATCCTGCTTGTTTAGTCCAGAAGTTTAAGAACCTGAAGTACTTGATATTATGAGATAAATTGTTGTGGCATTTGAACAGGAGGGGTCTATGGTTAGACCCAGATCTGTTAAGATGTTTAACGCTGCACACTTGAAACAATTGGGCCCACAGGTCATTAATGAATATTCTATCAAGTCTTTTCCAAATTCTTTTCCTTGGTCTCCAGTTGTTGCACCATGTAAATTTGGGGCCAATAAAACCAATGTTTGAGACTTCACAGTTGTCCATACAATTTGTAAAGTCAAAGCTCCTCGACATTCTGTGAGGATTACCTCCCAACTTTTCTCCAGGGTCCATGATAACATTGAAATCTCCTCCAATACACCAAGGTCCGTTGATAATAGAGTGTATATTCTCTAAGCTGCCCCACAAATCCTTTCTTTCAGCTGAAGTACATTTGGCATATACCGCTGTGATGTAAACTTCAGGGTCATACATATCATGTTTGAGATGAATGGTAACTTGTTGTTTCTCATTTGCAAGAATAGTGGCTTTGCAATTCTGCTTCCAGAAACACCAAGTTTGATCATTCGTGTTAGCATAGTAGTGTTGAAAGCCCAGGTATCTCCTGTAACCTTCAATTTTGTTTTTGTTGGCAAAAGGTTCCATAATGGCTACGAAGTCTATTTTGCTGATGTCGCACAAGTTCTTCAATCTAGGTAAGGCCTTCTTGGACCTCACTCCCCTTATATTCCAGAAGATTGTACTAATCATGGAATAACAAATGGGAAAATCAACTTTGACTCCTTCCCCTAGAGGAAGGTTGTAATTTGTCTTTGTTTTTGCCAGTCTTTCTGTTTCTGCTTCTTCCTCTATTAATAGGAGAGATACCATGTTTATTAGATATCTCCGTTAATTGAGTTTCTGCAGGGTCTTCTGGTTGTTTGTTGAGTAACTCTGCGATGGTAGGTGAGGTAGATTCACCAGTATCCTCACTCACTTCTTCATCAGTTCTGGTGTTGATCTGCATAGCTCTATCTTGAAGGTTGTAATCCCCTAAATCCACAACAACTTGGATGCCATGGTGATTTTTGATTTCGGATGGAAGAGAGGATGACTTTGTATTAGAGACCTCCTGCTTGTTGCTTTCATGTTGATCCCCCATGTTAACACTCTCAGAGTATTGTATTTTTTTTTGTGCTAGATTCCTGTTACTTGCTCCCGTTTGTTGCTATAGTGTTGTTGGGCTTTATCTCAGCTTCTGTATCAATAGCATTTGAGTCATCTTTAGTTTAATCATCCTTGTCTTTGTTGATATTCATATTTTCCAATTCCTTGAGACTGTCTTCCACTATTGTATCTAGAGTATTAATCTGCTTTCTTATAGAACTCTTGGATATGTTCCTTTTGCTGCTTCCTAACGAAGGCTTGAAGTTAACAGATCTTTTCTTCTTTGGCATCTTCTTCTTCTTCTTAGTTCTTGATATTCCTCATAACAATGTCTGGCTCTATGCTCTATTTCTTCTCAACCTGGTCATCTTCATTAGACTCAGTTTGTTTTTTTCCCTGGTCATGTATCTCTTGATCATTTTTCCTTACCTTTTGTTTATTGCCTTGATCCAGATTGTCTTCTTCCTTCTCACTTCCTTGAAGGGCTTGTTCATTCACTTCTGATTTTTCTGTCTGGCTTTGGACTGCTTTTTTATCCGGTTTCTCTTTGTGTTTAGAACTTGCCAATTTGTTTCCTCCATGGTTTCCTTTTCCTGAATTTCAACTCTGTTAATATCTTCCTCATTCTGTTTTCCTTTGCTTGATTCCCCTATTTCATTCTTCTTCTCTTTATTCTCCTCTTGTTTTAATTTTTCAATTGCGCAACAATTAACCAGAGAATGCCCAAGCTTTCTACAGTGTTTACAGTACTTCGGAACATTTTCCAATTCAATCTTTTGTACATACCCATTCAATGGGATATTTTCATCTTCTGATCCAACATAGACAGACGTATGAAGAGGTTTAAGGAGGTCTATTTCCACTATTACTTTGGCCATGCTTGGTCTTGTTTTGGTTTTAGTGGCGATATCCAGTACCAATGGTGTTCCTGCCGGTCTTATAACTTGCTTGGCATAATGCCAAGTATGCATATGAAATGGGAGTTCGGGGAGTAATGCCCATACTGTTGCGATTGGTAGATCTTCATCCGGTTTGAAATCCGGCGTCCATTTTTGTAGCCACATTTGAGATCCGGCAATTTCCACAACTCGCTTGAATCTGATAATGTCAAAATCTTCATCGTTTGTGAAATCAAGAAATACATTATAGTTGTCATACACCCCTATCTTCACTGTTCCTTTCAGAGCGAATTTCTCTGAAAATTGTGCCCTAATTTTATCAATTTGGGGCCTAATTTTTAGAAATCTTTCAACAAGGGTTCTTTTACACTCTTCAGCCATCACCCCATAGTAGTCTTTTGCCTTAAAGATAACAGCAGGCATTCCATTATGAGTCGTTCTTCTCGCAATCACAGCCTACTGCTCCTGACGACTTGGGGTCGCAGTGGAGTTTAGTGCCGTGCCAAGAGTAGTAGCATATGAGGATTTCCTTAAAATTGTTTCATGGGTCTGCTTCGCTCCATCGGGAGGATCCTGTTGCAGGTCCAGACGCGCCGGTAGGCCGCCGCCTGGTGGCTCCATGAGTCGGAGCGTGTGGTTCAGACGCAGGTATAGAAAGTTACCGTTGGGAGTGTTTTATTTTAGAGAGATGTCGTACTTGCATTGCGGTGCTTTATCAAGGGGGTGGGGGTGGGGGTGGGGGTAGGGTAACTGAGAATCACAACACAAAACACCGCTTATATTCAATTTTTTAACTCCAAATTAACAAGAAAACAAGTAATAGTAAAATAGAAAAATAAGGGCAAACATCATTCAGGGAAATATATGTGGCATATGGAAAAGCAACTTACCTACGGATCCGACAATCTCATGATTTCCTTTTAAAAGTTTCAAACTAGTAATAGATTGTCTCCTTAAAGAAAAAGATATTACAAGTTGAAGCAATAAGAGATCTCTAGATACACTACCAAAGACATGGGTGGACGGGATTGCTCCATCCTTAATTAGAGAGCTCTCCGGTTCTGACCTTGAGAATAGAGAAAGAAAATACTTAGTTAGAGGCGGATTAAGAATTTGACCTTGATGGTGTTAGTTCTTACCATTTTATCTGTTGCAATTTTGAAATTATAGATTCAAATTTTATTATTTGGTGAAATTTTAGTAATATTTCACGATTATATTACGCCCCGTATCGAAAATATCGAGTTTAATTGAACCTAGTTACATAGGTTGCATCGACCTTTGCGCTTAGTGAGTCCTATATATATATATATACTCAAATTAATCAGCCCAGTGAAAATCAAACTCTAAATACATGGAGAGAGAAAGAGAGGAGAAGAAATCATCAAAGGAGCGATCAGGCAGTATATATGCTGAATTCCATGCAACAATAATTACCAATTCAATAAGTGAGTTAAAAGTCTTCTAAAATTCATGATGAGTGAGGGCATATATCAGATACTATTTGGTAGGGTCTTTACTCTTAACACTTGTCTTTTAACTTCTTTTTCTTTTGTTTCCTTCTCTTTGTATCTTTCCATTCGAGATGGTTTCAACTCTTAACAGAATGTTCCTAATTCTTACCTGCAGGTGAGACTAATTAATTATTTGAACCATTTTAACAAACTAAACCGTCCTCATTATATTTATATATCTCCTTTTTTTCACTTGTTTCCCCTTTCTTTTAAGCTATCATACAAATAAAGTGGATTTAAGCTATCATGACGTTGAGAATATTAATCATCTACTTAAACTGTTGTGACAAACTAAAGTTATAGAATGCAATGGGACTGGCTATCTACTCCTATCGAGTGGCGAATCTGGGATTCAAACTCAATGCGTATAAGTAATATTTTTCTAAAAACATAATATTGTACATAGGCCGAAATCGTGTGAGAGAAAAACACAACGTAAATATATAACTTGAAACAAGAAGTAAAACTTTAAAATACCACAATCTCAGACTCATTTACAAAGACGAATTATGCAAGACTGGACGCTGTTTGCACAAAATGTTATACGGGCCACAATTTAAACGTGCTTCCCCTTCAATAACATCTTAGGAGAACTGCTTTAGCACCAATGATAAGAACACGATATCCAAGAAAAACTCTTTTAAAGTTCCATATATAGTGAAGAGATTTGTTTTGAAACGCAAGACGAGCAATCTTTTTTATATGACTAAGCTAGCTAACGAATAAGGAATATCGCTATAATTGGAAAATATACACTTTGCTTTTCTAGTACTTCCGGGGTGCAACAAAATTGAGGGGATCCTTCAAAAATAGTCATTTTTCGGACTTGTAAGTGAAAAATAGCTCAAGTTCAGAAGTCATTAAAATATAGCCAACTATTGGAATTCATGATAGTGTCATGAATTTATTTTCACTTGTTTAAGTTCGAAATCCATGATATTGTCATGGTATTTCCGCATCAAAAGTGGCTACTTTTCAACGAACATTTAAATATTGGCTATTTTTCTAAAATGGGTCCGGAAATATACAACTTTTACAAATTTTATTTCCAATACATTTACGGGATTGAGATAATTGTTTCATTCTATTGGACCAGGTCTTTAAATATTGTCCCTATTTTTATTGGAATTTTTACCTCCTTTAGCAAAGGTTGATACCTTATTTATTTTAAATAAATACCATTTTAAAAAATTATATTCCATAGCTACCTTTTGATTTTTATAGCCAAATATCTATTTATGGTTACCTCCTACCCTTAAGCCATAAAATACGCTTTACATTATTTTTCTCTCTCATTCTTTCAGATTCTTCTTCTTCTTCACCATTCTCTGTATCAATCTATCCTCGTTCTTCTCTTACAAAAACCCAACACAAAAAAATACACATCTCTCACTCTCTCCCGACTAGTTTCCTCACTCACTACTATGCTTCAACTTGAAGAAATCCAGACCCCTGTTACTTCTGGAATAAGTGAAGGCAGTGGCGAGTATTTTGCTCGGGTCGGATTAGGACAACTGGTGAAGGAATTCTACATGGCTATCGACTGGTAGTGACATTACATGGCTTCAATGTGAAACCTGCTCCGAATGTTATCAGCAAACCGAGCGTGGGAACAGTGAGATTCAAGGTTTTTGCTCGATGGCGGATTCGCCGAAAATTAGGGTTTGTTCTTGAACAAAGACGGCGGAGTTTGGGGCTGAGCAACTTGATTTTCTGTTAATATATTTCAATGTTTTTTCAACGTATCACGCTGTATTTTCATGTATTTCATTGTATTCATTGTAATTCAATGTATCTCATTGTATTCCTTGTTTTTTATTATATTCACTGTCTTTTTTTCCATTGTATTTCAATGTATCCCGCTGTATTCTATGTATTTCATTGTATTCACTGTCTCGCTATATGTCATGAATGTATTCATATATTTTTTTTAATTAATATAATTTATGTATTCAGATGTATTATATAATTTCTCTGAAGATTGCTATATTTTTGGGGTATTTTTCGGTTGAGAATCTTTTTTATAACTGGAAATACAAATTTTGTGTGTTATAATTGAGTTTGTTGAGTTATATTAGGAGTCTATTATGTTAGTTGATTCACTTTCCGTTTAAAAACAGTGTAATCCCTGTTTCACGCCGTGAATACAGTCGAATACAATAATCTGTCCAGCTGTAATCCCATGTTTCACGCCATGAATACAGTCGAATACACTCGAATACAACAACTGATTAGTTGGACTTCCCTGATTTTTGCTACTGTATTCATGAATACATTAGCTTAAATACATCAATACATCTTATAACAACAGAAAAGGTATCTACAATCCGTAATATAGCAAATGGTATCTATAGATAGCTAATTACCACTAAAAGATAGTGCTTTATGAAAATTTCTCATTTTTATTTTATTGTAAAATATGCTTCTTTTTCACCAAGAACACCATAGTTCTTCAATATTAGAAACTTGAATCTTGCTTGGGAGTTGAAACTGAAAGTTAATTGATTATTTTTTAAAATTATTTCAGTGTTAATAATGTGTGCTTACATTTTTAGTTCAAATAATGATTTAGTGATTTGCTT